GACCCGGGATTGTGGGATCGGGGTCAGGGAACTGCACCATCAGACCCAGGATTATGGGCTCGGGGTGAGGGAACAGCACCATCAGACCCAGGATTGTGGGATCAGGGTGAGGGAACTGCACCATCAGACCCGGGACTGTGGGATCGGGGTCAGGGAACTGCACCATCAGACCTGGGATTGTGGGATCAGGGTCAGGGAACTGCACCATCAGACCCACGATTGTGGGATCGGGGTCAGGGAACTGCACCATCAGACCCGGGATTGTGGGATCGGCCACACGGAATCTGAGATAAAGCTCCAACCGTCAGCCGTGCAAAGTCCCTGGGGTGAGGTGAATGCAGTGAGACTCATTTGTTTGTGGATGTTTACAGTAGTCTAAGCCATTGGATTTGTACCATATATATGTGTAGATTAAGCTAATAAATTTGTTATTTATTTACGTGCATATGCCTTCTTACAATAATTTTGATCAGACGTTAAAGAAAGGATTAGATAATTTTAGGCCAACAATACAGACACAAATAACTTTCCAGAAATTTTGGGGATCACAGGGTTTAGTGAGAGGGAGGAACTGAAGGAAATAGATATTTGAAGAGAAATGATTTTCAGGAACTTTTTGGGGTTAAAGGAGATAATTCCCCGGGCCCCGATAACCCACATCCCAGAGTACTAAAGAAAGTGACTGTAGAAATAGTGAATGCGTTGGTGGTCATCTTAATCCAGAGACCCAGGTAAACTCCTGGTTACCTGGGTTCAAATTCAATAAATATCTGGAATTAAGAATCGAATCATGGCTGTGAATCCATTGTCAATTGTTGGAAAAACCCATCTGGTTCACTAACGTACTTTAGGGAAGGAAACCGCCATCCTTACCTGGTCTGGCCTACATGTGACTCCAGACCCACAGCAATGTGGTTGACTCTTAACTGCCCTCTGGGAAATTAGAGATGGGCAATAAATGCTGCCTGGCCAGTGACGCCCTCATCCCATGAATGAATACATTAAAAAAAGGAGTTAATATTTCAAATCTGACTATAGTCATCCTACTCTTTTTAGAACCCTTACAGTGTGGAAACAGGCCATTTGGCCCAACAAGTCCACACTGAACCTCTGAAGAGCATCCCACCCTATCCCTACACCTCCCATGGCTAATCCACCTAGCCTACACATGAAGCGTGTTTAAGTATGGCCAATCCACCTCACCTACCCATCTAATGACTGTGGGAGGAACCCACGCAGACACGGGGAGAATGCTCAAACTCCACACAGAAAGTCACCTGAGGCTGGAATTGAATCCAGGTCGCAGGTGCTGTGAGACAGCCATGCTAACCACTGTGCCACCGTGCTGCCTCCAATAGTAACTCTGCCTCTTCCAACACAGTTACTGCCAGGACTTTCTGTTTTTATATCAAATCTTCAGCATCCAGAGTATTTTGTTTTTTTAATTTTTATTATTCACTTGTGGGATGCCGGATGTGGGATGTGGGTGTCGCTGGCTGACCAGCGTTTATTGCCCGTCCCTACTTGCACTTGAGAGGTGGTAGTGAGCTTTCCTCTTGAGCTGCTGAGATGACTGACCTCCACCAACCACAACTATCTTCTTATGTGCCAGTTATAACATTAACCAACAGAGAGCACTGATTCCAGTTTTGCTCGGGCTCCTTGATGCCACACTCGGTCGAATGCAGCCTTGATATCAAGGGCTGTCACTCTCTCCTCACCTCTGGAATTCAGCTCTATTGTCCATGTTTGAACCAAGGCTGTAATGAGGTCAGGAGCTGAGTGGCCCTGGCGGAACCCAAACTGGGCTTCACTAAGCAGGTTATTGCTGGGCAGGTGCTGCTTGATAGCACTGTTACTGACACTTTCCATCACTTTACTGATGATCGAGAGGAGACTGATGGGGCGGGAATTGGCCGGGTTGGATTTGTCCTGCTTTTTGTGTACAGGACATATCTGTGAAACTTTCCACATTGTCGGGTAGATACCAGTGTTGTAACTGTACTGGAACAGCTTGGCCAGGGGAGCGGCGAGTTCTGGAGCACAAGTCTTCAGTACTATTGCCAGAATGTTGTCAGGGCCCGTAGCCTTTGCAGTATCCAGTGTCTCCAACCGTTTCTTGATATCATGTAGAGTGAAGATTGCTGCAAAAGCTTCAGCCTTATCTTTTGCCCTGATGTGCTGGGCTCTTCCATCATTGAGGATGGGGATATTTGTGGAGCCTCCTCCTCCAGTGAGTTGTTTAATTGTCCCCCACCATTCACGACTGGATGTGGCAGGACTGCAGAGCTTAGATCTGATCCATTGGTTGTGGGATCGCTTAGCTCTGTCTATCACTTACTGCTTTCGCTGTTTGGCGTGAAAGTAGTCCTGTTTACCAGGTTGACAGCTCATGTGTAAGTATGCCTCATGCTGGTCCTGACATGCTCTCCTGGACTCTCCTTTGAACTTGATCTTCATTGCCATGAAGTTTGTATCTTGCTTTCTGAAGAAGCTTCTTTAGATTATGATGTGGCAAAATAAATGCTGTCATGGTGCATATAAGCAAAAGCCTGAAGCTGACAGGCAGAAGTTCTGGAATATCTGGAAGCAGCATGGGCAGACCTATCAAGAATCTGAAACCTTAAAGCAATATAATTTTGACCATTGGATGAGAGCTTTAAAGGTAGAGATCACACATAAACCTTTAACAAAATAACAAGATGGAAGAATTTAAACATTCTCTCCACCCATTTGTAAGAATTCTCACAGAGACCTTTTTTATGTTATTTCCATGGAGTTCAGAAAGGGGAGTGGGTGGGGAGCTGAAAGGAAGACAAGTAGCCAGTTATGAGAACAGACAGCTCGGAATGCACAGCATCTCCTCCATGGGCTAGAAATCAAAGTGCTGATGGAGAAGTGATGGGCAAAGCACTAACTGTTGGCATTATCATGAGGTTCTGAGGAAAGATCACCGGACCCGAAACGTTAACTCTGTTTTCTCCTTCATAGATGCTGCCAGACCTGCTGAGCTTTTCCAGCAACTTTGTTTTTGTGGCATTATCATGAGGTTGGTTTTATAGAAGTTATGAGCAGGGCTGGAGTGAAACAGGAAAACAAAGAGGACATTGAGCCTCTTGACATTGATCAGAATGAGGCAAGAACGCAACAGAAGGATTGAGGAGATCAGCAGATCCTCCAACAAGCTGGCACGAAGCATAAGTCACACTGACCAGGAACCTTCAGCAAGCCCTTCTCTCCTCTGAAGGGGATGTAAATTATGTCAATTACTGCAGTGCCAAGTCCAGCCCCTTCATACCAAAGCACTGCTGGGGCTGTCGCAGTTACCATTTCCTTCAACCTTGATGCCACAGAGTCCTCCTGACCTGCAGCAGGTGACAGCGTTTCTGCCCATCCGATTGAGTTCTCGGTATTTCAGTTTCTAGCCGGTGTAATTCCAGTCTGTTCCTGCTGGTGGGGCTCTTGACCAATTTCCTCACTGATGACCCATTCAAGTTGAATGTGACTGTGAACCAGAGGGACAGTAAAACATCCAGAAGTGAGTACGAAGGCTGAAAGGGACTCAGATAGACCAAGGGGATGGATTGGAATAATAACTTGCTTACAGAAAGTTCACTCAACATCGCAAATCACCCAAAACATCAGCAACATTTCTCACCAAGCCACATAGGAGACATTAGGACAGTGTAAATCAGGAAATTAGAAATGCATGCAGTGAAAGCAAATAGAGTAATCATGGAACACTGAAATCCACATATAAACTGCCAAAACCTAGTTAGTGCTAACACTGTCAAGGACAAGTTTTGGGATATATACAAGATAGTTTTTTCAAGGAATGCATTGAGAACCCAACCAGTGTGACATTAGGTGCGACTTATATACATTTTAATACCATTTATTTTAGAGTTTGGATTTTGAACCAGTGACATTTAAATTTCGGTTTGTGTGTGTGGGGAGTTTAACGATTAACTTGGCAATAATTCTGGAGCTGTGACTTCTTTAAAAACCAGACTGAAGGACTGAATTCCTGGGGTGATAATGGGAACTTGTTAACATTGTGAGACTGGTACAATTGGAGTAAACATTGCAAAGCATTGCTTTTGGTTTAGAAGAATCTGAAATTGAATTCCTTTTGCTTTAGAGAAATTGGAAATCTTTTGGTTGTGGTTTGCAGTCATCCTAGTTGGAATTCAATGTAAGAAACAGTACTTCCTCAAGAAAAGAGTTAGTTCAGAGAAGTTAGGAAATCGATTACCTTTAGTGTAGGGACTTTTGTTGAAAGTTGCAGACCAGAAGTGTTTGGTTAGAATCCTGAAAAGGTTATTCAAATTTGAAAAAGTCTAACCTTAGTTAGTGAATACTGTTCAAGGATGAGGCTATCAAACTCTTAAGACTGGATGAGGATGTGGGTGACGTACTGATTTTAAGTTTGCAGATGACACAAAACAAGTTGGAAGTGTGAGCTGTGAAGAGGATGCAAAGGTGTTTCAAGGGATTTAGAAAGGTGACGTGAGTGGAAGAAAATTGGCAGATAAAGTACAATGTGGAGAAATGGGAGGTTATCCACTTTGGTCAGAAAAACAGAAATACAGAATATTCCTGAAAGGGTGAGAGGCTGGGTTGAAGTATTGGAACTTCAAAGAAACTTCAAAGTTTCTTGTCCATGAGCCACTGAAAGTTTGCAAAATGGTAAAAGTGAGCAATTAAGAATGCAAATGGCATGATTACCTTTGTTACAACATGATTTGACTCTAGAAGCAAAGATGTCTTACTGCAATTGTATTGTACTTGGTGAAGCCACACTTGGAGCATTGTGTCTCCTGTTGGTCTCCTTACCTAAGAAAAAATATTCTTGCTGTGGCGGGAATGCAACAAAGGTTCACCAAACTAATCAAAAACAAAGAACTGTGGCTACTGAAACCGGAAACAAAAACAGAAACTCAGCAGGTCTATCTGGCAGCATTTATGGAGACAAAGCAGAGTCAACATTTTGGGTCTAGTGACCCCTCTTGAGAACTCTTTTACCAGCTATTTCTGAGATTGAGAAGGAGAGTTCTTCATGGTAACCTGAGGCAGTATGGGAATTGAACCTATATTGTTGGTATCACTCTGCATTGCAGACCAACTGCCCAGCCAACTGACCCCCAAATGAAAGGGGACAGGCAAGTGGAGCAAGAAATTAGGAAGGCAAATTATACATTGGCCCCCATTGCAGGAGGACTGAAGTTGAGAAATAGTGATATCTTACTGCAGTTAGACAGGGCCTTGGTGAGAGCACACCTGGAGTACTGCATACAGGTTTGGTTTCCCTACCTAAGGCAGGATAGACTTCCCATAGAGGCAGTGCAGTGGAGGGCTGCTAGGCTAGTACCTGGGGATGGCAGGACTCTCCTAGGAGGAGAGATTGGTTCAACTGGGCCTGTATTCACTAGAGTTTAGAAGGATGAGGGGGATCTGAAACAACATACAAAATTCTAACAAGGCTAGGCAGATTAGATACAGGGAAGAGATTTTCCTGATTGGGGAGTTTAGAACCAAGAGTCATAATCTCAGGGAATGGGGTAGACCATTTAGAACTGAGGTAAGGAGATATTTCTTCACTGAGAGATGGTCAACCTGAGGAATTTGCTCCCAGAGAACACTGTGAGGCTGGGTCATGTCCAATAATTATTTAGATACCCAAGACATCAATGCTTGAGAAGAGAAAGTGGGAATAAGACTATGAGATTGAGGATGAGTCATGATCAAATTAAATGGTGGGCCAGGCTCAAATGGCCAAATGGCCTACTCCTGCCCCGAGTTTCTTTATTTATATCTCAGTCAAACAGACACAATCCTTGGGCTGGACTTTGAGAACATTTCTTGAAAGAAAATCTTTAACATCCTGGCCCTATTCTCCCTAATTTCATGTCTTCTTTAAGCCAAGACCCTACTCCCACCTCCTTGAAAACTGGAGCCTGTTATTTGGCAGGTGAGCAGGATAACCATAAGTGTCTCACCTTGAAGTAGTTGTGGAGATCGTCAGAGAGGAAAGTGTAAAACATCTGCCTGTCTTTTTTGTCACTGAGCCGATCATGGAAAACCCTGGTAACCTCATGTGCAAATAGAATGATTGTCTTTTCTCTGGAAACAATGTCGGATTCATGAGCCTGCAGCAGGCCCTGGAAAACCTGTAAAAACAAAGCAGGCTCTGCTGAGAAATTGACAGTCAGCTCCTCACATACACTCAATGACATTGACACAAGTTGGCCTTGCCTACATGTGACTCCAGGCCCATAGCAGTATGGCTGACCTCGAAATGAACATTTGACAAGGGTTGCACAGGAGGCTGTTAAATAAATAAGAGCTCATGGTGGTAGGGGCAAGGTACAGGCATGGATACAGGATTGGCTGACTGGCAGAACAGAGAGTGGAGATAAAAGGATTTTGATCAGGATGGCAGCCAGTGACAAGTGGAGTTCTGCAGGGGTCGGTGTTGAGACCATAGCTATTCACATTATACCTGAATGATTTGTATGAAGGAACTGAGGGCATTGTTGCAACATTTACAGGTGACACAAAGCTAGGTGGAGGGACACAGAGTGTTGAGGAAGCAGAGAGGCTGCAGAAGGACTTGGTAAGGCTAGGAGACTGGGTAAATAAGTGGCAGATGGAATACAACGTGGAAAGTGTGAGGTAATGCACTTTAGTAGGAAGAATAGAGACATGCACTATTATCTAAAGGGCAAAGGCTTCTGAAATACGAAGTACTGGGAGTTAGGGTTCTCTTAAGGTTAACAGGCAGGTTCAGTTTGAAGTTAAGAAGGCAATGCAATGTTAGCATTCATTTCCAGAGGGCTAGAATACAAGAGCAGAGATATACTGCTGAGGCTGTATCAGGCTGTAGTCAGACTGCATTTGGAAGATTGGCAACAGTTTTGCAGACTGAAAGGGCTGAATGACCTAATTCTGCTCCTATATATTATGGTCTCATGGTCTAACTACCTGACAATGACTCCAGACAGTGGAAATGACAAGGAATCACCCTGCCAATACAATTAGATTAGTTAGCCCTCCTCATTAACATACAGTCACAGTCATAGAGTCATACAGCACAGAAACAGACCCTTCAGTCCAACCAGTCCATGCTGAACATAATCCCAAACCAAACTAATCCCACCTGCCTGCTCCTGGCCCATATCCCTCCAAACCTTTCCTATTCATGTATCTATCCAAATGTCTTTTAAACATTGTAATTGTACCCGCAACCACCACTTCCTCAGAAAGTTCATTCCACACATGAAACATCCTCTGTGTAAAAAAATTGCCCCTCATGTCTTTTTTAAATCTCTCTCCTCTCGCTTTAAAAGTGCATCCCCTAGTCTTGAAACCCCCATCCTCAGGAAAAGACAACATCATTAACCCTATCCATATCCCTCATTATTTGAGAAACCTCTATCAGGTTGCCTCTTAACCTCCCATACTCCAGTGAAAAAGGTCCCAGCCTATCCAGCCTTTTTTAATAACTCAAACCTTCCATACCAAGCAACATCCTGGTAAATATCTTCACATCTAGGAACTTGTAATAAAATTGGGAGAACTATCCCACAAAGTAGACAAGCACTGGCCAAATATTGCCATTCCCAGGATTTTGCACCTTACAGGCAATGTTCCAGACTCCACTGTCACTATCCCTGGTATAGTCATAACCTACCAGCAGGACAGGCACACCAGAGGTTGTTATGATCCCAGTTGATGTTAGTACCAGAAACACTTAACAAGATACTGTATTATTTAACCACTAATCATCAACTGTTCCAAAAAGGCAGTATCCTGTAAACATCCCTTGGCAAAGGAAATTCAGCTACACAGTTATCATTCTCATGTGCTGTCTTTCTCCAGTCCAGTAGAAAGAAACACTGGGAAGAAACAATCTGCCCCTTTTCAGTTTAAAAGGAAGCCCCTCTGTCTAAGACCTCTCTCTCCTCAAGCTTTCAGCCCCTGCAGCCAGTAAGAAACTACTGAACCAACTGAAATTGAAGCTAAAGTCTGTAGGTCTGTGTGAACCCTGACCCCACCCATTCATGATTCTTTCGTCTTACTTTAAAAAAAAACCCATGGAGAATTCAAAGCTGTTCACTAACTGTCTGTCTGAAGGAGACATCTGGGTATCACTGTGACAACATCGCTCTGTAAGAGAAACAGGATAGAGCACAGTACCATTACAGTAGTGAGAAAGTAAGGGGAAAGACTTGCCTTGGCCAGGTCCCTCATGTTGAATGTATAGTGCGGTTTGACTGGGGTGGGCAGCATTTGACGGCACATTTTGTAATAAATAGCAATGGCGGCAGTCACTAACAGCTCTCGGCACTTCCGCACAACTGGCAAGAAGTTTCGGCTTTCCAGGTGACATCCGACTTGTACCTAAAGAAACAAGGAATCTTGAGAGATTGTTGGAGGAACTCTCTCAGAAGACAGCTAAATTCATCAACAGTTAACACCAGTCATTCATTACCTGCTAAATTTGATTTATTTCCCATGTTAGATCTGTCTTGGGAGTGTTTGTTGGTGTAAGTGCAGGGGCATCTTTAGTCTCACTCAGCATTTCCATATTTGTTGGTATCTTGCTTTTATGTTACTGTTATATCTGTGAAGTGCTGGTGTGGTGGTAACATCACTAATCCAGTGTTCTGAGGACATGGCATTCAAAACTCACCGTGACAGATGGTGAAATTTCAATTCAATAAAAATCGGGAAATGATAGCTGGTCTAATTGGGAGCGAGTAACTGTGGTTGAATGTTGTAAAACCCCATCTGGTTCACTAATGTCATTCAGGGAAGGAAATCTGACATCCTCACCTAGTTTGGGCTGCAGACCCACAGCTATGTGACTCTTAACTGCTCTCTGCGCAATTCGGGATGGACAATAAATGCTGGCCTAGCCAGGGATGCACAAATCCCAGGAACAAATTTAGAAAAAAAGTGTTACTCTACCTGTCCTGAGAGTGTTTGATGCCGCAGTGTAGACGTTGAACGAGATTTACCTGGTGTCTAACTGCTGTATTGCCTGATGAATGGTACTGGGTTTGTCTCTTACCTGGAAAATGTGTTGCAGTGAGTCAGTGGAAGGCTGAGGCAGGGTGAAGATGCTGAAGTGTTTGAGGAGCCGTTGGCTGAGTTCAGTGCGAGCACCACTTGGGGGGGCACATGCAGCAACCAGAGTCACGTCTTCCACACGCTGATCATAGTGGGGTAAAGAGGAGCAGGAAAAAACAGTCAATCCTGGTGCACCTTCTGCAATGAGCTTTAACACAGGCCCATTTGCAACCTGAGAGGTAAGGAGTGAGACCCCGAGAGTACAGAGGGATGGAGGTGCAGAAGACCATAGGACATGGGAGTAGAAGTAGGCCATTCAGCCCATCAAGTCTGCTCCACCATTCAATGTGATCATGGCTGGACTGACAATGCTGCTACATTCCTATTTTCTTGCCTTATTTCTATCACCTTTCAATCCCTTAATGATTAGAAATTGATCTATCTCAGCCTTGAATATACTTAAATATGTGGCCTTGACAGTCCTCTGTGGTAAAGAATTGCACAGATTTACTACTCTCTGAGAGAAGAAATTCTTCCTTATCTCTGTCTCAAATGTGCAACCCCTTACTCTGAGATGATACCTTCTGATCCTAGGTAATGGGAAACAACCTCTCCACATCTGCTCTGTCAAAGGTCCCTCAGAATCTTGTATGTTCAATAAAGTCACCTCTCAATCTTCTAAACTCCAATAAATACACACCCAACATTTTCAGTCTCACCTCATCAGACAATCACTCCATACCTGACATCACCCCAAGGAACCTTCTCTGGACTACCTCCAATGCCAGCGTATCTTTCCTTAGATAAGGAAAACTGTTCACAATATTCCAGCTGTGGTCTGACTAATGTCTTGTTATAGTTTTAGCAAAACCTTATTACCTTTATACTCTCTTCTCTTTGAAATAAAGGCTAACATTCCATGTACTTTCCCTATTACCCACTGAACTTGGATGCTAACATTTTATCATTAATGAACAAGGACTCTTACATCCCTCTTTTCTATAGTTTTCTGCAGTATCTCTCTATTTAAATAATATTCAGCTCCACTATACTTCCTGCCAAAGTATGTCACCTTACATTTCCTACATTATATTCCAATCTACCAAGTTTCTGCCCACTCATGTAACCTGTCTAGATCCCTCAGAATCACAAGATTGTTAGAGCACAGAAAGAGACCATTCAGCTCATCATACCTACCCTGGTTCTATTCCCCAGTGCCAATCTCCCGCCTTTTCCCCATTCCACTTGCACCATTACGACCCAAATACCCATTGAATGCCTTCTGAATGCCTCCACTGAGCCTGCCACATTTCCAGACAGTGCATTCCAGACCCTAACTCATCACTGTGTGAATAAGTTTTTTTCTGACCTCACCCTTGCTTCATTTGCACGAAGGGTCTAGGCCCAAAACGTCAGCCTCTCTGCTCCTATGATGCTGCTTGGCCTGCTGTGTTCATCCAGCCCTGCACCTTGTTGTCACTGTAAATCTATTCCCTCTTTTTCTTATTTCTTTTAAGAGTGGGAGCAATGTCTTGCTATCTACTCTGTCCACCCCACTCTTGATTTGGAAAACCTCTATCAAATCTCCCTCAGCTTTCTCTCCAAGGCGAACAGTCCCAACTTCATCAGTCTATTCCCATAAGTGAAGTTTCTCATTCCGGAACTCTGCACTCTTACCAATGCATTCACATCTTTTCTATAATGTAGTGCCCATTACCTCCAGCTGAGGTCTGACAAGTGTCTTGTATGACTTCAACATCACCTGCTTGCTTTGTACCCTACGTATCTATTAATTAAGCTGTGGATACTGTGTGCTTTACCCACTGCTCTCTCCACCTGTTCTGCCACCTTCAATGATCTGTGCACAGATACACCCAGCTCTCTCTGCTCCTGAGACAAAAGAGTGTGGAGCTGGAGGGACACAGCAGGCCAGGCAGCATCAGAGGAGCAGGAAAGCTGACGTTTCGGGTCAGAAATGATTTCTGAAGAAGGGTCCCGACCCGAAACATCAGTTTTCCTGCTCCTCTGATGCTGCCTGGCCTGCTGTGTTCCTCCAGCTTCACACTGTGTTATCTCTGACTCCAGCATTGGCAGTTCTTACTATCTTTGTCTGCTCCTGCATTCCTTTACAATTGTACCTCCTATTGTATATTGTCGGTCAATGTTCTTCCAGCCAAAGTGTATCACCTCACACTTTTCTGCATTGAACCTCATCTGCCACCAATCTGCCCACTCCACCAACTTAGCAATATCCTTTTGGAATTCCACACTGTGTCCTTACAATTTACAATTCTTCCATGTTTTGTGTCATCTGCAAACTTTGAAATTGTCCCCTGCATACCAAGCTCCAGATATTAACATATATCAGGAAAAGCAAGGGTCCCATTATCGACGCTTAGGGAGCTCCACTAAAAACCGCAGTCCAGCCTGAAAAATATCCTTTACCCTCTGTATCCTGTCACTTAACCAATTTTGTGACACACTGCAGACCCTTGGTGTCATCCTCACCCTTTGCCTTACCATCTATTTTTGTATCATCTGAAAACTTGGTTATAATCCATTCACTTTCCTCATTCCAAGTCATTAACATATATTGTAAATAAACTGTAGTCCCAGCACTGATCCCTATGGCACTCCATTGGTTTACCATCCTAGAAATGTCCCCTTATCCCAACTTTCTGTCTTTTATTAGCTAAACCTCTATCCATGCTAATAATACTGCCTCCAACATAATGGGCTTTTATATTATTAAATAGTCTAATGTGTGGTACCTTCTTAGCTGTTTTCTGAAAATCCAAATATATTACATCTATTGCTTCCCCTTTATCCATCCTACTTGTTACCTGCTCAAAGAATTCTGGTAAATTTACATAGGCGGTTCTCCAATCCTTTGGGCTTTTCCCAGAATGTAATTGTTTGGAAGATCATTTTGGAAATGCATTTATGATTTGTTTCCAGAAGGCTGATGGAATTCAATCTTTATTACTGGAGGAATTAAATATAAAAGTAAGGATGTTACCCTTTGATTGTACAGAGTGGGATACAGGATTTTGGTGAGACCACATCACGAATACCATGTGCGGTTTTGGTCCCCTTACTGAAGGGAAGGTATAAATATGTTGGAGATGGTTCAAAAGAGGTTTACTCAAATAATATTCAGAATGAGTGGGTTGTCTTATGATGATTGGTTGGACGGCTGGCCTTGTTTTCGCTGGAGCATTGTCAACCTGTCCTCATGAGATATTGCTGGGGTGGTTGGTATTAATTCTGGTTTTGTTCCTCAGTGGTTTGTACCCAGGATCTAATTCAATGTGTTTGTTGATGGAGTTCCGGTTGGAATACCAGGCCTCCAGGAATTCCCTGGCGTGTCTCTGTTTGGCTTGTGCGATTATTGATGTGTTGTCCCAGTCGAGAGGCATATAAATAACAAGCAGGACAAAACACCAATGCTTCCATAAGACCATAAGACATAGGAACAGAAATCAGGCCTTTCAGCCCATCGAGTCTGCTCTGCCATTCAATCATGGCTGATAAGTTCCTTAACCCCATTCTCCCGCTTTCTCCCCGTAACTCTTGATTCCCCTGATAATCAAGAACCTATCTATCTCAGTCTTGAATGTATTCAATGGCCTGGCCTCCACAGCCTTCTGTGGCAATGAATTCCATAGATTCACCACTCTCTGGCTGAAGAAGTTTCTCCTTATCTCTATTCTTAAAGGTCTTCCCTTTACTCTAAGGCTGTGCCCTTGGGTCCTAGACTCTCCTACAAATGAAAATATCTTCCCAACATCCACTCTGCCCAGGCCATTCAGTATTCTGTAAGTTTCAATCAGATCCCTCCTCATCCTTCTAAACTCCAATGAGTATAGTCCCAGAGTGCTCAAACGTTCCTCATAGGTTAAGCTTTCCATTCCTGGGACCATTCTCGTGAACCTCCTGTGAACCTGCTCCAGGGCCAGTACATCCTTCCTGAGATATGGGGCCCAAACCTGCACACAATGAGGTGCGCTGATGATGTTCCCTAGTAGGGTGACGAAACATTTGCAACCAAACCCACTGGCTTGGCAGCAAGTCTACAATCTTAATGCTCCTAATACACTCTATAAACCCATTTTACAAGTGACCTTCATCAATTTAATTCACAGGGTCTATATGTAGGTTATAATCACCTGGAGAACCAGGGACAGAGACTCAGAATGAGGAGCAGGCTATTTAGGACTGGGATGAGGAGAAATTTCTTCACTGTATTCTTCTTCTCCCAATGTCTTCTGGAACAAAGTAAGCAGGCCATTCCAGATGCATCACTGTTCTTTAGCATAGCCTCCAGCTGATAGATTGTGAGCCAAGCCACCTTAAACTGTACTGAAAACAACAAATCATGGAGATCACAGGAGGTCAGACAGCATCAATGGAGAGACAGCAAGTTAACATCTTGAGTCCAGATGACTGCACATCATGAGGGGAGGTGATGGCCTAGTGGTATTATCCCTGGAGTGTTAATCCAGAGACCCAGATAATGTTCTAGGGGCCCTGGTTCAAATGCCGCCATGGCAGATGGTGGAATTTGAATTCAATAAAATATCTGGAATTAAGAATCTAACGATGACCATGAATCCATTGTCGATTGTGGGAAAAACCCATCTGGAAGGGAAAGAAACTGCCATCCCTACCTGGTCTGGCCTACATGTGAATCCAGACCCTCAGCAATGTGGATGACTCTGAACTCCCTCTGGGCAATTAGGGATGGGCAATAAATGCTGCCTAGCCAGCGATGCCCTCATCCCGTTAATGAATAAGAATAAGAAAGCTGAAGTGGCTCTGATAAAGAGTCATAGAGACTTGAAACATTAGCTTGCTTTCTCTCCGTGGATATGGTCTGACCTCCTGATATCTCCAGCATTTGTTCTGTACAGATTGCAGCATCTGCAGTAATTTGCTGTTGAAACTACAAATACTTGCTGCAAAGGTAACTGTTAAGGATCACGGAGGCATCGATCAAACTCCAAATGCAGCAGTGCCACAATCCTGTCTCAATCCACATATATCCTCATTGAACAAGACATTTACAAGACAAGGAATCACAACAACAAAGCACGACACGTACCAACCACTTGAGCTTCTTAATATCAAAAAACCCTCCGAGGTCCAGGAATTGCCGGATCAGTTCAAGTGGAGGCTGTGCTCCGTATTGCTCAATTGCTGGCATGTTCAGGTCATCGAGAAATACAATCGCCTGTCAGACACAAACAAAAAACAATAGGGTGTAGATGCACATGGACTGCAAACACCATGAGATACACATTGACTGTAATCACTGTGATATACACATTGACACAAACACTGTGAGATACATGTTGACGGCAATCATGGCGAGAAAAACATTGACGCAAACACTGAGATACACATTGACTACAAATGCCATGAGATAGACATTCACTGCGATCACTGTGATACACATTGAGTGCAATCACTGTGAAATACACATTGACTATAACTGTGATGGGATACACATTGACTGAAAACACCGTGAGATACACATTGACTGTAATCACTGTGATATACACATTGACTGCAAATCCTGTGATACACACATTGATTGCAATCACTGTGATATTCACATTCAGTGCAATCACTGTGAAATACACATTGACTGTAAGCACTGTCAGATACACATTGACTGCGAATCCTGTGAGATGCACATTGACTGCAAATACAGTGATACACACATTGATTGCAATCACTGTGGTGTACAAATTGACTGCAATCACTGTGAAAAACATGATGACTGCATTCACGGTGAGATACACATTGACTGTAAACACTGCGAGATACACATTGACTGTAAACACTGCGAGATACACATTGGCTGTAAT